CAGGTGGGCGGATTATTTCGTTTCTGAAAGCTCGATAATGTGTGTTGTCTAAAAGCTGATGGGAGGGTGGAGAGTTGGTTATCTCTCGCCAGGCCTATAGAAGGTGACGTCAGAAATGTTAATCAGTAGGTGTAGTAGCGGAGGGTTTTGCGGTTGCTGAAGAACACAGCAACACAAACGATGACGATGATGAGGGATACAACTCCACATCCAATAGAAATGAGGGAGAGCCGCTTGGAAGATTCGGCGTGTTTGTTTGCAGCCACAAAGTCGTTGTGATTCAGAGCTGAACGGGACTGTGGAGGTAGATGCATAATAATAATATTAATGATGATGATAATAATAATAATAGTATAAAAAATAATAATAATAATAATAATAATAATAATAATAATGATAATAAATATATCTTTTAGGGTGCCCACTCCCTAGTGGCTCCAGGCGCTTCACAATAAAATTGAAAACCATTTTGACAGCTTTCATAACGTCATGCTTCAAGTATACCTGCCCATCAAATGCAGGACAATCCTCTCAACACATGCATGCACCCGCAGTCTGACTAAACAGCACGTATACAAAGACACATTTGACTGCAGCTGCTCATCATACTAACTGTAGGGAAGGAAGAATCAAACTAGCTGGTAAATTAGGATTTAATTTTAATAATCTGTGAATTCTGACCAGTTCTAGATGTGGTTAACGTAGAAGTCCCTCTTAATCAAATGATCATGTAATGAAAAGAAATTCCGAACTTTAACTTAATCTCAAAATACTATTTTTTGAAATTACTGTTGCTGTTGTTGTTGTTGTTGTCGTCGTTTTGTGTTGCTGTTGTTTTCGATGTTGCTGTTGCTGTTGTTGTTGTTGTTGTTGTTGTTGCTGTTGTTGCTGTTGTTACTATTGTCGTTATTTTTGTTGCAGCATGTGTTGTTGTAGCTGCCGTGGTGGTTTCTGTTGCTGTTACTAATTGTATTCCATCAGTCACTATTTCATGAGATTTGCGATCACTTGGAGGGGTCACAGACAAAGTCAGCTGATCACACTGGCTACCTCACGGCAGGCGGCATGCCTATCTATCTATCTATCTATCTATCTATCTATCTATCTATCTATCTATCTATCTA